TTTTTTTTTTTTCTCCTTTTTCTGCTTTCTCAATTAGCAAGGTTATTGATTAATTATGTCTGGTTTTTGATAAATTTCGAATATCTGAGCTGTGATTCTGTTTGTTTAGCTGACCCTCAATGGTTTTAGTACCTAAAAATGCACCTTAAATGCAGAGCTCAGTTGATGGATACTTTTCACGTGTATCGATTTTGGCTCCCATAAATTCGAATCAATTTGGTAGAAGCTAAAATATGATAAAATTTGAACTGCAGTTTGTTGAGATGGCTTGAACATTAGCATAGTTACTATTGGCAGCTGCAATTCTTTACACTTTAATAAACTATTATTGAATTCTAACTCATCTCGGTTTTCTTTCCATTTTATATATTTCGTAATGTGGGTTTTCAGTGGTTTTGATATTGCTCAATCAGTCGACAAGAATCAATGTCGACAAGATGTTTGAACACTCACAATTGGTGGAGGCATATTGGCCTTTAGCTTATCAGGCCCTATGCTTTTCATCCGGGTACTTTGCATACGACCAGTTGGACATGTTGCTTTACCGGTTGTACAGTGGTTTGATCCCGGCGATTCTTGTACATCACTTGGTGCTACTCGTTTGTTTTACCCTTGCATTGTACCGGAAGGTCACGATCAACTACCTTATTCTCACCCTTATTTGCGAGGTGAGGCTTTTGAATTTATCCTCATTTCAGTCACCTCAAGTTTTTGTTTTCGTACCTATATTATTTTACAGGCCATGTTATACAGTTGACCGATGTTGTTTTATGTATAAATTGCATAGTTTTGTTAAGGTTTGACGTTATGAACTGATTCACTTGTTTTTCATACGAATGTTAAGTGGCCTTTGATTTGTGGAGGTACTCGTGATTGCGGAAAAAGCTGACCCTTTTTTGTCTGGTGAATTGATTCGCTTGTCGTTAACACTTATTTGTATACAAATAAAACCAGTTTTTCACTTGTTTTTTTTTTTTTTTTGGTTAACCATGATAATTTTAAAAATTTGGTTTGGTTAGTTTTCAGTGGGATATTAAAATAATATTTAAAATGAAATGATTAAATTGATTTGGTGTAAAAGTGGAAGAGCGATTACGTGATGTTATAGGTAGTTAAAATAATTTGAGTGGATGAATAGTGTATTAAAGTTGATGTGATGTGTAAGGATGATTTATTGATATTATATAATTATATTGATAATATGGAGGATTGTGGGGTTGATTTAAAACTACCTCCAGAAATCACAAATACCACTGATATTTCAGAAAGTCGCACTCATAATATGGGGATTAGATGTACTTTAAAAGCGCGTTTGCAGTTTTCTATTGATACAAACCTTTTTTCTATTCTAAATTAAACTACTCATAGATAGTTTTTTGCAAATGATCTTACGTATTTTGTTTACCATGTTACTGTTCCTCATACCTTTACTGTCTTGCTTGCAGCTACACTCGATATTCCTTCACGTCCGAAAAATACGACGAATGGCCGGCATTCGAGACGCGAGTTCCAAGAGCGTTAAAGTCGAGTGGATTCTCAACTGGTTCACATTTGTATTTGCCAGATTATTGCCTCATATTTTGATCACGTTCAAACTGGTTAAAGATGCTCCCAATTTCGATAAGGGTATCGAGCTACCACTTGCTCTATTTGGTATGGCGGGAATGAATCTGCTCAATATATTTCTGGGGATTGATCTTTTTAACGCTTACAGAAGAGAAAGAAAACCGAAGGTAGGTCATCATGACCATCACGAATGAGAGATGCATATAGTTTCATATATGGATTGAATTTTTCTTGTAATGATAATTTGTCGGTAGAGTAGTAATGTATACGTTGTGTTTTGTTGTGAAAGAACAGAAAATGAGAAGAGGATAGAGTTTCAGAAAGACTTGTTTAGGGTGTGATTGAATGTGAACTTAAGAAAAAAAAATCAATAAAAACTCAAATTTAACTCAACTTTAACCTAATTCTACTATCTTTAATATTATCAATATAATTTAGTAATATCAATTAATTATAGTTACATTTCACATCAACTTTATTCAATATTCATTCTTCACGTACTTCAACTAATTATCACTTTCACTCATTTTGTCCTATTTTTAAATTAATTTTAATTTTTATTTTAAATATTATTATAATAGAAACTTAAAATTTCACTTAAATATAACTCAACAACTTTTTCAAAATTGTCTATGGTTAACTAAAAAAACCAACAAAACCAAATTAAATCCATATTCAGTCATACCTTTAGTTTTTTACGATGATGTTTGGTTACAATAAATTGAAAGAGTTCGTGTAACCCATTTTTATCTTCAGCGTTGTTTTTTTTTTTTTTTTTTGGAACGATAGGAATTTTATAACTAACACACATAATTACAAATAGAGATCGGCTAGAAAATCTATTGAGGGGACATCCCGGTGGGAGCCTAAACACCACAATGCACCCACGATAATAAGACAAACTTCCAACAAAAGAATCTAAATTTCAAAGGAATAATAAATCCTAACTAATAACAGAATAATCTCGATCCCAAAGGGATAATAACACTAACAAGAGAAAAGGAAAACACAGAAAGCACATGAGAACACAAAAACACAAACCCAAAAACACATAAACAAAGAAAAAGCCCTTCCCACGAACGGACTAACACACCAGTCAAAACTCAACGGCAACACCATGATCGACCTCCAACCGGTCGGTTCACGGCCCCAGTTTCAACCCCAGAAACTGCCGATCACAACCTAACTAGAAACGAAACACCAAACCACGACCCGCGCCTTGCGGCCGACCACAACCTCCCAGCCGGAGGTCGGACAGCCCCACCCCTCACCACAACACCACCACCCCGAACCGAGCCACACCACAGCCAAGCCTGGCGCGACGGCCGACTCCTCACCAACACGGCAATCGGAGCCGCAACCCGCCCCTGGAGAACACCACAACCCTCCTTCGTTCGCCGCCATGGAAACCAACGATTTTCATCTCGGGATGGCAGCCCTAATTCACTGAAGACCACTCGGGACCGACCAATTCCACCACTGCTCGCGAAGATGGGATCTGTCACCTAATCGAGAACAAGCCGCAAGCCAGGAACCAGCCACCGTCAAGGAGACCGATGGCCGCGTCGGGAAGGCAAAGAAAGATGCAATTTGGGGCTTTTTACTTTTGGAGAGAGAAAAGGTATATGGAGAGAGGGAGAGAGTTTTTTGCTTGGTATATCTCCTCTTCTGCGTTGTTCTTTAATTGCTCAACTATATTATTATCCATCCGAATATCACATCACAATTCACAAACAACAAATGTACCACTTACATTATATATTTCTATACAATCTTATTTATTGAGCCAAGTGTATTTTGTACCACTTACATTATATATTTCTATACAATCTTATTTATTGAGCCAACTATAAATACACTGGAAAAGTCAAGCACACACAACCCAGACATAACTTTAATTGCTGCAAATTGCAGTACATGTTTTCCTTGCAGAGCTTCAACAAGAAGCACAAATTACACACATGGTTTTAATGTACAAATGCATTCGAGAATCGAGATAGATTCGGTAAAATCAGCCAGGTACAAAGTAATCCATCTTGTCTACTGGAAGATTCAGTACAGATGTCTCAGCCTGTTACATATAACAAATTAAAAGGTGAAAAAAGTAGTATCTAAAATGGAAATATTAAATATAGAATAAAAATATCTCAAGCTAATTATAAGAATCTCCATTGAGCAATCTGAGTTACAGTGGGAAGGTACTCGTTAAGCGAATTTACGTTCAGATGCCAAAAAATAAAAAACAGTCAGAACACAAACAAATCAAGGAATTCAGCGTAAATGAATGATTCTGATGCAGAAAAAAAGGATTCCCATTTCGCAATAAAAATCGAGTTTCTATCTAAAGAGAACTTAGAAAAGGGGGAAAAAAGACTTACTTCCTCGAATGGGACAAAAACGAATGGACTAAGACCCCTCCTGTGTGAAGTTGCGGGGACATCAGGGTTATGGGTTTCGTTTTCTTGCCACCCTTCAACTACTCCAAGGATGTCTTCACCGGGCCCACTGGCCTCAGCATCATTCACGCCGCTCGTTACAAGTGATAGGAGATCCATCCTATTGTTAGCTCCCTGTGCAGTCCCTCTTAACCTATTTTCGGAAGGCAATAATACATAAATTGCAAAAGATGGAAACTTCAGCTTTGTTTGGTAAGCATATAAGCTAGCTAATAGCTTATTTGATTAGTTTATAAGCTTCATGTATTCAAATAATTTTGGTTTGGTAGGACGAGTTTTTTTTTTAAGAAACTCGAACTTATCTCATAAGCTTCCTTCCTTGGGTAGTTTTTCCAATAAGCCCATTGAAATTTTTATATTAGCTAGCTTATCAGCTAATTTTACAAACACTTTTATCATATAAGCCAGTTTTTCAGCCAAGTCATAAGCTCGAAATTCACTTAAAAGTTGTAAGCTAGCTTATTAGCTATACAACTAGGTTTACCAAACATAGCCTTAACATTATTTATAAATTTTTCAATCATCCATATTTTATTCATAATCGACAAAGATATCTTACAAAAACGTGTGTATGCAAAGTTCATTCATATATAATATTAGTATTTTGGTAGTCGCCTTTTCTTCCAGAGCTTACAAACAAAACGAGCAACGATTTACCATAAATAAAGCTGTCTCGAAATTTTAAGGTAAAGAGTCAATCATATAATCCACATTTCACATTCTAAAGCTTGCAAAGAGTTTTTTCTTTTTTAGAAATGATATTCATCTCTTAGAACAATAAAAGACGAGGGGCAACTTCAGATAGTACCTCAAGCGGATCCTTAACACAGTTGGGCGCATGCCAGGATACAAAAGAGCAGCTTCAACCTGGAAATGGATAGGCTAAAATCAAATTTCCATTCAGGGAAAATTTTACACATACATGATGAAGTGGGTAAATCATCGCATTACATGGTGAACAACACATTAACTAAATAAACCCTTCACTTTTGTGTTGGTTAAAAGTAACAAGAGAATCAAACAAAAAACAATACAAATGCGGAAACAACTAAGTGGACTTTTCACCTTATCTTCAGAGAGAGTGTATTGTCCACTAAAAACACAATCCACTTTTGAAGCACGGAAATTCATGTTCTTCACCACATCTTTCACTTTTTGCCACGAATTCTATTGACAATGTCAAGGAAACGGGAAAAAAAATGTTACAATTGAGATATTTCCTTCGATTAAAACTCCCAAATTGTTAAAACTTTCTACCAAGATATAAATAAGAAAATGAAAGAAATGAAGAAAACTGTTGATTATACGACCTTGTAGAGAAATCTTCCAGAAGTATAAAATCGTAAGTACCGGAAATAGCAAACCTACAAAACAAATTAAAAAATTCTCATTGCACAATATGTTCTAATACAAAGAGTTAGCAAAGAACTAAAGAGTTCGATGTGTTTAACTATAATCACTTACATGTAGTACTGTCTAAGATTGGACATTTAGAATATCTTTTTTCTTCTTCTAGTGATTTTATTTTTTCGAGAAAACACACACACACACACACACACATTATACCAGGTGGTTCTGGTGTCTTCGCCATTTTGGGGATGAACCAAGTCATAAGTTCATAAAAGACACATGAAAACATGAGGACCATCATTCCTCCATTCATTATCCATTTATCTCATTAAACGTTGCATTTTGAATTATAAATCTTAACTTCAGATAGATTTTAGCTTAAAAGACGAAAATGATAACGAGTCTATGAGAAACTAAAACACTAAAGCCAGATAAAAACATACAATATGCACAGGATTGGTGATCTTCCACTCTGCAACCCCAGCACGAATATAGGTATTCCGGCTGACATAAAGGCCTGGCAAAAGTTTGGCACAGTGTATAAGACCAAAATGGACTCACAACTATATGCTACAACTGGTAAGAAACTTCCTGTTGACACTGGTGCTTGTGGGGAACGTCAACTAAAGCCCTTCAATTAGGTATGAATCGACTTTTGCCTTTTCTTTCTTTTTTTTTTCTTTTTTTTCCGGGGAGGAGGGATGTGTTCAATGTTGTAAGGGTTACAATAATTGTATTACTCAGATATTTTTATTCTCAAACTACTGTTCCTAAAGACGAAAAAAGTCTGCTATTTTTTGCAAAGTAAGTCTTAGCATGATGCATTTACCTATAATGTCATAAATCAACAATATATCGAGTTTTTAAAAAGACTTATAAAAAAATTAGCAGAAAGCCTAACCTTCGCAATAACAATTTTGAAGAGAGGCATGCAAATCTAACCTCACAGTCATTATTCTAATGACAAAAGAAAAGTGAAATAATAATCTCCAGAGAAAGTGATGTTACCATCTGTTCGTAGTCTTGGTCTTAAAAGCCACATTTTCCTCCACGACCCATGATACTCAGACTGTAGAATCTTATAATTTTCCAACACCCCAAAGACCTACAGCACAAAACCCAAAACTCGGAATTGAGAAGAAACAGAAAGATGTATATATCAAAAGATTATCATCCATTCTGGAGCTGACCTGCCAGGCCTTTAAGCACGCATTACGCCAGAACACAGGACTACGGATCGTATATCTCCATTTTCGACAAACACAAGCTGCCCTCCCCAGTGTATAAGGAGCCATTTTCAAGAATATCTTGACAGAAGTATATCAAAAGGTTAACACATATATATTTACACAAACAAAGCAATGTAATCTTCGGACAGGATTGTCATTCCCTCTCAGGTTTGAGAGGTTTGTTATGCCCAAAAATTAATGTTCATAGTCGATTTTTTTTTTTTATTTTTATTTAAAAGCATGTACAACATGAGTAAAATACATAAATTATGAAAAACAACCAAACTAGAGTCTACTTTTGTAATACCTCCAAAAGCAGCTCATCAGGTAAGCTGCGGTGTATAAGGGCCGTATCCACAGATGGTTTTCTAGCCAAACTGGCAAAAGGAGCCACCGGCCTCACATTGATCCCATAAAGATCTATCGTAAAAAGAAGCCAAAACTTTCCATCATATTAAAGCCACTTAACACTCAGTACAGACCACAGCCATCAAGACCACCACTTTTGGGAAAAAGATAAAATTGCACAGGCAACATAAAATTTGGACTGAAAACGTAACACGCAAATGTTGCGAACGAAACAATTATACACAAATCAATTACCAAGCCATGGCCTTTTAGTCGCCAAGAATTGAGCAGCTCTCATAAGCGTAGATGCCTCAAGCTCAGCTGCAAGTTTTACATCATCTGGTAAAGAAAAACAATGTTGCTCATAAATTGTTGTCCAAAACCAGAGAGAATCAAAATGGTGATTATTAAGAAACTATAATCAAAGGTTTTGGGGTCAAATTAGACGTTTGAGGATGAATGGATTCAAAACATTCAAAACTGCTTTCGAAAAATCCCAAACACTTCTACATACCATCTAATTAGATCAGTAAAATAGAAAGTTGTTAATTCAATCAGGGCCATTATCATGTAATTCCCAAATAAATTTCCCTTAAAACATTTGCATTTCTCTAGAAAGCTCAGAAAGTTTCACCAACAAAGATGGAAGGCCATAGCCACCAACAACGATCGTAGCCACTAAATTTACATTAAAGAAAAAAAAAACTGAAAAATAGAAAAAAACAAGAATCATACAGTTGAAACTGCGAACAAGTTTCGCTCACCTGACGCCATTGAACAGGCTAATTGTACGTAGCTTTACTCTCACCAGCTCCGGTGAGAAAATCTCCGGCTATACGGCCGTCGGAATATGGAAAACGATGAGCAGACGAAGACAAGGGAACAATTTTTCGCCGGCAATTAATATCTGAAAAAGCCAGCTTTTTTTCCCGATAAATAGATGGGGCAATGGCTCGATTAACGGGTTGACCCATTTCATCTTAAAGTGGCGATCCGACCCGACCCAAAACACATGTATAAGCTGGGTAAATTTGAATATGGATATGGACAACGCATTGTCCATGTTCTTTTGTGTCTACTAATTGGGCAATTGGACCAACCCAACTGGGCGCACAAAACCCATATGACCATGGCCCACTTAACGAATTTGGACAAACATGTAGGTAGACATCATTTTCGGATTAAAATGACTTTAGTATACATTTGGACAAGCCCATTTCATGTATATAAAAAAGTCTATTGTTAAGCTAGCTTATAACTTTTTTAATAGGTTTACGAACTTCTTGTATTCAAAATTTCAAATGTGATTACTTTGGTACTCTGGTAGAATGATTTTTTTTAAAATATCTCGAATTATCTCATAAGTTTATTTGTTTGTATAATTCTTAAGCGTGTTGAAAATTTATTTCAACCCACTTATCAATTAGTTTTACCTCCACACTTTTAACAATTAATTTTACAGTTGTCGTAAGCTATCAACTATTAGATTGAAATTAACTTATAGGTTTTTAAATTTATAAGATATGTTGTAAGGTAGTTTTCACATGTATTACCAAACAAACCCCAAGTTAATAATAAAAAATAAAATAAAATAAAAGAGAGAGAGAACATTGGATTTGGGGTATGTTTGGTAAGTCAAATAAGCTAGCTTATAGCTTATTTGGTTAGTTTCTAAGCTCTCTATATTAAAATAAACCTCGTTTGGTAGGACGATCTTTTTTAAAAAGCTCGAGTTTATCCCATAAGCTACTTTATGTAGCTTTTCAAATAAGTTGGTTGAATTTTTATATTTCAGCTAGCTTATCAGCTAATTTACCAAATACTTTTATTATATAAGCTAGCTTTTCAGCTATAAGTCATAAGCTATAAGCTATAAGCTCAAAAATTACATATAAGCTATAAGCTAACTTATCAACTGTCAGTTAACTTATCAGTTAGTTTTACCAAACATAGCATTGGCAAGCGTTCATGTCACTTTTTCATTCACATTTGTAATTTGGTATGTCCAAATTTGTAATTTGGTAGAATATTAATTGACACAAACTCCCATTATTATCTTTAATAACAAGAAAATTAACGAAATGAAGGGTGTATCAACTTTATTTAATGATTCAATTTATTGTATATTTAATGATTAAAATGATCTTGAGTTGCTACATTATTGTATTCTATATAATAGAATATCCAACAAGACATGGAATAGATAAAGCATGGCAAACTCTCGACTTTTTAAAACGTCTTATTTTTGTACGGTCTTAAAAAAGGCAGTATAGTTAGAATGAGACATTCAAGAAGCTGAATTGAAGTAGACAAGTCTACTAAGAAAGGCAGGCCACTTGTTTAAGCGTGTTGTTTCCCTTCATTGTACCAACAAAAAAAAGAGTGTTTGCATTAGCTTGATTAATTCAACCCTTGTTACAAAAATAGCTATTGGAAATGATATCATTGTAAATCCAAAATACAATCACTTCGTAACATGTTATTGTGAAAAGAACAACTTCACATATCTCTTTTTATACGTTTGTGTTTGTTTAATAGCTTTTTGCCTTCAAAATAGTTTTTTCACAATTTTAGCTATTTTGACTATTCTAATCATCTAAAAAACATGTTTGGTAAATGGCTTTTAGCAACGTTGCTTATTTGCTCCATCCGCCAAAATTGAAAACGCTGCTTTTAGCAATGTTTTGATTTAGCGGTCTACAATAAAAATTTGTTCAGCCCTAATTGCCCTTCTACATTTTCCATTTTATTATTCCTCTCTTTATCTGCTATTTTGCTCTGAATTTTCGTTCCGGTAACAAATTCCTGGTGGCTTTGATGACATTCGCCTAAACTTCGTCCCCTGTGTTTTTAATGCAGATAGTGGTGAGTTTTTTCCTTTTTCTATTATTTTCCGCAATTTATTTTGTTTATAGCATGTTAAGTTTCTTGATGTTACTGAATGTATATTTTTCCCCTTAGTACCTTTCCCTCGAAGGTTCCTCCTTCCTCCATCTCCCTTTCTCTCTGTGTGTGTATGTGTGTGTGTGAGTGTGTGGTGAGAGAACTGAAATGAATAACAAATATTAGTGTAACTATTGATTAATTAATACCAAGAATTTCAAGATAGTGACAAGTAAATTAATTAACATTCAACATTTAAGAAGTACTGAGATTTCATTATGTGCTTGCAAATATGGATAGCTAAAGAAAAAAAAATCATGATTATCTTCTTGGAAGAATTTGTGTGTACTTGATAACTTCACGAAATTTGATTACTGGGATTTTAGTTTTAAATTTTATTTGGTGTTTAGATGTAAACCCATATTGAGAATTTGCATTGAAAGGGCTAATTCATCTTTAAGAAGTTGCATTGGAAGGACTTTTGGTGTTCTTAAGGCTCAATGGAAGATACTACATAAAATGTCGAGATATTCGTTAACCGATCAAAATAGAATCATTTGTTCATGTTTCGCACTTCACACTTATATCAGAAGAAGCACAATTGGTGATCCGGGCTTTAGAGTCAACCTTCTAATGTTTTTCAAGATGTTGAAATATGCACAAAGTGATGGAGAAATGAGGACTCAGATGGCAAACATTCATAACAATATAGCTTCAAGTTTAATGGCATCTAGACGTCGTTCTTAGAACATTTTTTTTAGTTGTAGCAGATATTACAATTGGCTCATATTTATATTTTTAATTAATGATGACTTGTTATTGGCTTTATTTATATGACGTGAACTTATTTACTCAATTATGAAATATTTTTATTTTATTATTATTTATATTTTTATCATATTTAAATTACTTTATTAAATATTTAAAATATTAATTATTTCTATTTCCTAAATAATTATAAGTTTAACATAAATTAAAACGATAAAGTATGTTGATGTCCTTATAAGTAATTTTACATGATAACAGCTACTTTAAATAGCTAATTTTACCAAATCTTTTATACAAATAGTTAATACGTTCAGCTGGTCAAAACAGCTAACGCAATTCGATAGTCAAAACAACTAATTCAATCAGCTAACAGCTAACCGCTGATTACCAAACTAACTTTCATCTTTGTATACTTCCACCAATAGCTTAAAAAAAATAAAATAAAAAGGTCTGTACACTAAAATTTGAAGTTCAGAGTTTTTTCATTTTAATTGAATTTTTACTAATTCAATATTTTTACCCATCTAAAAATTTTATTCAATTAGTCGAGTTTTCCCATTCTTATGTGTTAATGAATTTCTCTGATGTTTGATGAAAAAAAATAAAATAAAATCAAGGCTTCCTTCTCTCCGGTTCCCCACCCTGCAATCACTCCCTTTGACCACTATAATCGCTAACCTAAATCTTCGCATCGAAGAGCAACATTCGCAGTTATTGTCGAGCTTGGAGAATCTTGTAGCTGTCACTGAATTCCCTTTTCTTTGCCGGCCACCGACGTAGTTTTTGGCCGCCGGTTGGATTCTCATGGAAACATCGACTGGTTATTACATGAATGATCAGTATTCTTACTCATCTTCAGCTTCGCTGCGAGACGTCTATTACTGGTGAGCGATGCCCCCACCTTTTTAATTGGTGATTTTGTTTGAGTGTGGTTGTACTGTAAGAGCTTGTTTCTTGTTTGAATCGATTTGGGTTAGCGAAAATTTGGCAACTTTTGTTCTGTATTCATCGTTTCGAAATCTGAGAAGCAGTAAAAAAATGCAATCTTTGACGAGTTTGTTTTTGTTTTTTAAAGCCGATTTCTTGAATTTCTTGTCCTGTATAATTAAACAGAGCTTTTTGTGATAGAAACTATGTTGACTGAGGTAAAATTGTTGTGGCTAATGTTCTCGATTGGGCCGAGGATGATGAAGATTCTAAGTTACTTGAATGATTTGTTGTTGGGTTTTCTTACATATGCAAATATCCATGCAACACTGTCTTAATCATGAATGTTCCAGTTTTTTTGCTGTCATTTCCAATTTGGAAAACATTAGGAGGTTTGATTGATGCATCTCACCATAAAATAGTTTTTTTTTTCAAGTTTCATAAGATGACATAGTGAGGCATACTTTTAATGCAGGCATGAGAAAAGTCTTTACTGTGAAGTACGAATAACTCGTCGCTGCAAAATTTTGGGTACGAATGTAAGTTTTCAGAGATAAGTTTATGCTTTGGCTTAAGACCCGGCATGTAATGTCGTAAGTTTCTATGGTTTTGGTTTGGTGGTATTAAGTATATGCAGGGTAGTTATCGAGATGTGGCCTGTTTTATTTTTAATTGGCCGATTACAATTCGAACACACCACATAGCAGTGGCAAATAGTAGAACAATCGGTCGGATTCTAGTCTGACATCATATTTGCTCTTTGCTTTTCACCGTTATGAATCTTCCTGATTAACTTGATGCTTTGGAGAAAAGTACTTTACTTTGAGATCTTTGGTAATTAAGAGCATTTCTTGCATATATACAGATTTTCAAAAGTATATTAAGTGAGTTAGTTTAGTTTCTCATACTAATTTTGACTGGCCAAATGAAGATCATTCTAATAGCTAATTAGAAAAAAAAAAAAATGTACTATCATCGATCAGCTGCGAATCATCTTGCAGAATGCTTATAAAACATGACTTAATTTTTTTTCAATTTGCATGGCTTGCTCGGAAAAAAAAATCGTCCTTAACAGTCACAGCCTGTTAAGTTTCACAATCTTTCACTAAAAGATTGAGTTTCATTATTTCCTTCTCTTTGAAACATCCATACACACTAGTTAATTTCGAATCACTGCATATATAATTTCTTGATTAGAGAAAGCACGTTTACCTCCAAACTTGGGAAGACATTTTTTTGCCGGCAGATTCGCATCTTCTTGACAATAAATAAATAAATAAACAGATACCTCATGAGCATTTGTGACTGGAGATATCTTGTGTTTATCCGACTAAACCTATCAACAACTGTGTATTTCAGTCTTTTCTTGATTAATCGGTTATTAGCACTGTATAGGTGAATTGTGAATGGAGTCATTTGGATTAATGCATTCTGAATGAATGGGTCAGTTGACAGTTTTGAAATATAACTGGGGTTCTTGATAATTAGTCTGAATTCTAGGGTTAGTTTTTCTAACTATTTCCTAGTTTTAATTTGGTAGACAGTCATCAGAAAGGATAGATGTCTAATCTTTATGTTTGATTACATTGCAGTTATAATATATGCTTTAAGCAAAATAATTCACATATGAGTTGGGGAGTTTGATACTACACAAAGGGGACCAAGTTGATATTTGACACCATTCAACTCAATATGACTCCTTAAAAAAAAAATATAAAAAAAATAATAATAATTGTGAACATAATAAAATAAAAAAAAAAACTTAAAAAAATATAAAATAAATCATGTGGTATGTTATGCTAGTAAAGGGGAGGAGCTATAATCTTTATCTTAAAGTCTTACCATATATAATATAATTCATTCTTAATAATTTAATATGCACACCGCTCATGTGGCATGCACATATTGATGATGTTAATATGTTCAAAAAAATACATCACCAATGTGTGCATGCCACATAAACGGGTGGGCATATTAACACGTGCCCACCGTGGGTAGAGGAGCATTACTGATCATTTGGATACACTGCATAAAGTGTGACAAAACAATGTGCCTAACCAAAACTCCTTTTGACTTAACCATGCAAAAAGGTGTCATCTTTAACTAATAAATGAATTGAAAGCAAAAAAATAAAGCTATTGTGTTTTTATTATGCAAGCCTTCTTTTTTTTTTTTTTTTTT